CGCGCGCACGTGGGCCGGCAGCCCCTCCCAGAAGCGGTGCAGCCGCGCCGGCCGGGGCGACACCAGCTGTCCCGACGGCTGCAGGCGCCAGAACCAGGGGCCTGCGGGGGGACGGGGCGGGGGCCACGTGGGCGAGGGGTCTGCCTGCAAACCGGGGGGCTGCGCGGACCTGGGGTGAGCAGCATGCGGCCTGCTAAGACCTCGAGTGTGCATGTATGTGCGCCTCGAACCCAGGGCCTGGGCACTCGCCTTGAGCTTTTGTGCTCAAGGCTAGCTCTCCACCGCTTCAGCGGGTTTTCTGGTGGTTAATAAGAGTCTCAGGGACTTTCCTGCCCAGGCTGGCTTTGAACGGCGATCCTCAGATCTCAGCCTCCAGAGTCAGGATGACATGCGTGAGCCACCAGCCCCACTTTCTTTTTCAAGGAAAAACAACAGCAGGCCTGGCACCGGTGCAGGAGAGACCGCGAGACTCTTATCTCCAATAAACCACCAGAAAACCAGAAGTGGCGCTTGTGGCTCAAGTGGAAGAGCACTCACCTTGAGCTGAAGGGCCAGAGTTCAAGCCCCATGACCAAAACAAAACAAGCAAACAAAAAGTTCCACTGCCAGGAAACCCTGCAGCCCGCGTGGGCCTCCTGAAGTGTGTCAGAAGCTAAGTATGGGATGGGGGGGTGGGGGGCACGACCCAAGAGCCTCACCTTTGAAGAAGAAGATCTCCCCACGGATGTTGGCAATGGCGTCGAAATTGCCTTCACAGCGATCGGGAACGGGTGTGGAGGGGCTGGGGAGGAAGGGGGATGAGCTGGGGCCTGGGCTCCCCCTGTTTCTGACCCTAGGCCACAGCCCTGAGGGCAGGGTTCAGCCTCTGGGGGACACTGAGGTAGGAACAGGTCACTCAAGATCGCCCAACCCCTGGGCACTCACCTGTCGGGGGGCGGGGCCGGGGGCGGGTCTGGGGGCCCCAGGGGCTTCCTGGTGGGCCTGTCATAGGGGGTGTTCGATGCTCTCCCTGTGGGCAGTGAGTTAGGCAGGGGTGGGCTCCCAGCCCCCGCCCGGCCCCCGCCCGGCCTGTCCGCATGTCCCCGCTCCTCTTACCATAGAGCTGCGCCAGGCCGTCGCGGTCATCTTGGGACAGGCGGTACTTCTCGGGGTCGCCCACCGGGCCCTGATAGAAAGGCCTCATAATGGAGTTGGGTGCGGAGGAATGGCCCAGGCCCAGGGCATGGCCGAACTCGTGGACCGCCACGGCAAACAGGTCGATTCCATCATCGTCTGGAGGAGGAGGGGACAGGGGGCTGAGATAAAGGCGCCCCTCACCAGGGAAGGAGACCTGGGGGCTGGGCTGGTGACCCGCAGGAAGCCTTGGGGCTGGGCAGACAGTCATTCCTGCCTTCCTTCATCCATGCAGCAATGTCTGTCTGTCCCCCATCTCTAGGATTAAACCCAGGACCTAGGCTTGCTTGGCAAACACTACGGCTTCAGCCATGTCCCCAGCCCTCTTGTTAATACTGTGTCCCCTAATTTCCCATGGGCTGATCTGGAACTCCGGATTCTCCCACCTCTGCCTCCCCAGTAGCCGAGATTACAGGTGTGCACCACTGCACCGGTCCCAGTCAGCAGATACCTTTGAGTAGCCTTGTTTGGCAGTGCGACACTGGAACCCAAGACTAAAGAGACCCACGGGAGGGCAGAAGAGAGGTGTGTGTATACAGTAAGGCCTTTTCCCATGGGGAGGAAGCCCGCAGACACTACTATTTTCAGGGGGGATGAGGCAGGAACTCAGGGTGCCTGTAGTTCTCTCCAGAGTCCCAGCCCTTGCCGCCTTCCCTCCTCTCAGCTTTAGTCTCTGCTATTTTTCCCCGTCCTGTGGTCCACATCTCCAGAGACTCAATTCCCTCCCCATGTCTGGGCTCTCTACCCTGCCCCACACTGGCCTTCTGCCTGACTCTTCCCAGCACTTGGGGCTCCCCCACCCCACCCCGCAGGCACTCTCAGACCACAGCCTGCTGCTACCTCTGCATTCAGAGATCAGCTGTGGCCTCTTCCCACACCGCAGGCCTCCCCGGGGATCCAGCCCCAGCCAGGACCAGAGCCTCTTCCTGCTAATCAATCTACCCCTCCGGCAGGGAGAGGCCCCGCCCCAAAGACACTGAGGAGAGCTGGACAAGCCCCAGCAGATGTTGATCTAATTCGTGGAAATCTCTAGCCAGGGTCAGTGACACTGAAAGAGAGATTATTGGAAGTGATGGAGTCCATTGACTTTTGAGACTGGGGGCATGGTTCAAGTGGTAGAACTTTTAGCAAGCAGGAGGCCCTGAATTCAGACTCAGGTGCCCCTACCAAAAAACAAACTAGAAAAAGGAAAGAAAAGCAACTTGCCCTCAGCCCAGACGAACAGAATGTAAGAATAGAAACACTCCAAACTTCTGCCTCCTCTTCTCCCTTTTACAGAGAGGGAAACTGAGGTACAGAAAGGGTGAGGGTGGGGGCAGAGCCAGGGATGCCACTGCGAGTGCCCTCAGGTGTGCTGCTCAAATGCAGGTAAGGGATGAACTTCCGCACTGGCTTTACATCTTATGATGCTCTGTATCCAGCGTGCGTGCCCGCCTGTGTGCCAGTACTGGAGTTTGAGCATCTCATCAAGCGTGGTGTGCTAACACGTGAGCCACACCTCCACTTCGGGCTTTCTGGTGGTTAACTGGAGATAAAAGTTTCACACTTTCCTGCCTGGGCTGACATTGAACCACGATCCTCAGACCTCAGCCTCTTGAGTAGCTAGGATGACAGGCGTGAGCCACCGGCACCCGCCTGGTCTCTGTATACTTTTTCTGAGTGATCAGAGGACATTGTCTCGATCATGCGGATCTCCTCTCATTTTCCTTTCTCGCCTTTTCTTTGGTCGCAGGGAGCTTCCGGGCTAGGTCCCCTTCCTGAATCCTTCTTATGCAATGAAGCTGGAGGAAATCACACCACTGTGCAGCTCCGGCCTGGTAGGCTGCGTGAAAGCACCCTCGTCCGTCCTCTCAAAAATCACCATCCTGGGATAGGCCGGAAACACCTCAGCCTGTTCAGATCCACGGTCTCTGTGCTAGGACTCAGCCTCAGTCCCGCCTTTGGGCGGCAGACGCTGACACTTGCACCCTGTTTCATCAACGCACAATCATGCTGGCTTCTAGTGCCCATGAGGGGTGGACAGTTTCACTCTCCCACGCCTGTCTCCTGCCTCCGTCCTGTGGGAGGACCTTGCTTCAACTGGGCTCCTCCCAGCAGTCCCTGCATCCATGCACCCAGGCCACACCCCTTTCTTCCTATTGGCTCATCCCAACTCCACTTAGAGATGCTCTCCGGACCTGGTACCCAGGGCTCCCCAGCCACACTCCTGTGCGCCTGCCCTCTGCAGCCAAGTTCCCCAGTGAGCTGAACTCAGTCTCCTCTCCTCCTCTTGGGTTGGAGTTGGAGTCCTTCCCCATCTACGCAGCCTGCAGCCACAAAAGGGTCACTTGGGTTGAGTGCCAGTGGCTCGCATCTGTAATCCTCGCTCCTGAGGGAGGCTGAGATCTGAGGAGGTTGGTTCAAGGCCAGTCCTGGTGGGAAAGTCCATGAGACTCTTCTCTTCTCTCCAATTAACCACCAAAAAGCCAGGAATGGAGGTGTGGCTCAAGTGTTGGAGAAAAATAAGGGACAGAGCCCAGGCCCTGAGTCAAACCCCTGGACCCACAAAAAAAATAAAAAAAAAAAAAGGAAAGGTCACTTGTTCTCGGATGGCCATGTCCAGGCCGGGGAACTTTACTGGACTTGTTTGTGTCTGACCACTTCCTCCTTCGCTCCTGTCTCATCCCCCTCAGCCTGTCCCTTCACCTCCGTTAACCCCCCTCCCCGCGGCCCACCCCTCAGCCCGGGGCTCTCCAAGGCTCTGAACTTGACCTTCACTTTTGCTGCTTTCTTCCTGGTGACCTTCCCAACCCTCCAGAATCCTCCTATGTGCCGGCAGGCCCAGCCCCCACAGCGCTGGCAGCTGAGAGATCACCACGGGGCCCATGAAGAGCCCACAAACCACACTGCTGCCAGGAAGGCCTCTTCCCATTTCTCAGGTGAGAAAACAGTGCCCTGAGGGTGAGGAACTTGTTCACATTAGAAATGGAGGAACCCCAAGTGGTGGCAGAATCCACCGGCTTGGACTTAGGGGTGGCTCAGCGGTTGCACTTTGAGGCCCTGGGCCATCCCAGCACTGCGGATCAATACGGAAGCCTGCCTGGCCGCCTGCTCCCGCAGGACACAGCCCTGTCATGGCGCCGCCTGTCCCTGGCTGCCAATCCCCGTCTCGGCGCCAGCCCTGGCTGCCCCTTCCCCACACAGGCGTCCTCAGCAGCCTGCAGCTCATGACTGATCCACAGGCCCGGGGAGAGCGACCCCCCCCACATGCGTGCACACACGCATGCACACGTGTGCCTGCTGCGGAACTCCGTGGGACCAGGCTGCTCTCCGGCTGAGACCACAACCTCACCCAGCTTCTCACCCTCGCCTGCTTCTCTTTCCCCTGAGAAACTGCTTGCATAACCATTTCCACGAGGAGCGCTCCGCTTCTGGGGAACCCAGCCCAGGATGGAGGAGTCCAAGTTGTGGTGGGAGATAGGCCATGCTGCGGGGGCTCACGCCTGTCACGCTGGCTGCTCAGGAGGCTGAGATCTGAGGATCACGGGTGGAGGCCAGCCCTGACTGACAAATCCATGAAACTCTTTTCTTCAACGAACCACCAAAGCTGGAGGTGGAGCTCGGGTTCAAGTAGTGGGGAACCAGCCTCAATCACAAAAGTGAAGGGACAGCACCCAGGCCGGGAGCGGAAGCCCTTGCACCCGCGCGCGCGCGCACACACACACACACACACACACACACACACGGAACATCCAAGCACTGTGAACACTTGCCCTGCCCGGCACCTTGGCCCCCTGCCTCTCCCCACACCTCCCCTGCGCCAGGGCTACTTCCAGAATGCATCACCACTGGACAGCTCCCGTCGCTAGCTTTCAGATCCCCGATGGCCAAACCCTGCCGCTGGCTTTCCCCTGCCGTACAGCCTTGCCCTCCCCTGCACTGCCCCTGCCCCCCGCCACCCCTCAGACGTCCAGGGTCACATCTCCCTTTGGTACTCCACTTGGCTCCTCACTGCGCGCCCTGTGCATTCCAGGGCGGGACCTTGTCCATGTGGCCTAGGCTGTGTGTGTGTGCGTGTGTGTGCGTGTGTGTGTGTGTGTGTGTGTGTGTGTGTGTCTCGCCCTGTAATCCAGGCTGGCCTGATGCTCCCCAGTGCTGGGACAGCAGGCGTGTAGCACCATGCCCGGCATACACACGCACACGCAGAATGAACCGACACGGAGCCAGCGCGTCCGGGGGCCTCCTGTGGGAACGCACCGGCTGCGGACTGACTTCCGCTGCCCCCTCAGGCTGCTGTGTCACCATGTGTGTAGTAAGTCCGCCAGTCCCCTTCCGCCTCAGCTGCTTTTTTGTTTGTTTTTGTTTTTGTTCCTGGGGCTGGAACTGAGGGTCTGGGTGCTGTCCCTGAGCTTTTTTGTTGCGCAAGGCTGGTACTATCTGACGTGAGCCCCAGCTCCTCTTCTGGCTTTCCAGTGGTTAAATGGAGAGAAGAGTCTCACAGCCTTCCCTACCCGGGCTGGCTTTGAACTCCTTAGATCTCAGCCCCCTGCATAGCTAGGATTATAGGCTTGAGTCACCAGTGCTCATCCTGCTCCAACTCTGCGAGCTGGGCTGCCTTACAGGGAGGTGGCAGAGAGGGTGTGTGGACGCTGGGAGCCGCCAGCCCAGCTCACACACAGCGGGGCACCCGCCGGCCTCTGTGAGGCTTAATTTGTGAATTTGGCGATGCCCAGCTGTGGCTGCAGTCAGTATACTGCAGATTTGATTGACATCCGCTCCAAGGAACTTAATCAGCCAAATGTGGGTGAGCTTCAGTCCAATCAGTTCAACCTTTCTTCCCAAACTGGCTTTGAGCTTCCATCCTCAGATCTCAACCTCCCCAGCAGCAGGGATTACAGGCGTGAGTCACCAGGGCCTTGTATGCTCCATGAATTTCAGCTTAGTTCTCCAGGACGGACTGAGCTGGGGAGAGGATTTCTTGGGACATGGGAGATTTTTACCTTTTGATCCAAAAGTCCAGGTCTCCTCATCGTCGAAGTGGGTGTCCCCAGAAATGGGGTGCTCCCCAGGGAAGAAGGCGTGGGCCAGTGTGCCACCCTGCCCGTCAAAGGGATAGCTGTCCTGGTGGTAGGCCCGGGCGAAGTGGATGAGGATGTCGGGCTCCTGGGAAGTGACCTCCTGGAACGTGAGGCTGCACTCAACGCCCCAGACGTCCAGGGCGTTTTTCATGAGGTAGCGCACAGCGTTCGCACTCAGGCCCGAGCTCTGCGGGAAGGACTGCACCCTGGGGAGAGGACACAGGGAGCGCGGGGCTGGGAGGGGAGGCCACGCCACCCGGCCGGGGAGGGGGACGCCGGGACAGACCTCCAGGTCAGGGCCCGCTTCTTCCACATGCTCCCGCTGAGGGCATAGCGGCGGCGGCGTCTCACCAGCCCCGCAGACCCCAGCACGTCGGGCAGCGAGCAGCGAGGCTTCTGCATGGCAGCTATGGTCTCTGGGTCTGTGGGAGACAATGGAGGGTGTGAGCCAATCCTTGGGCTTGAACTCAGGGCCTGGGCGCTGTCCCTCAGCTCTTCAGCTCAAGGCCAGGGCTCTGCCACTTGAGCCACAGCGCCACTTCTGGTTTTCTGGTGGTTTATTGAAGAGTCTCACAGACTTTCCTGCCCAGGCTGGCTTTGAACCGGTCCTCAGATCTCAGCCTCCTGAGTAGCTAGGATGACGGGCGTGAGCCATCCGCGGCTGGGCTACCACCTAACTTTCTACACAGAGAGCCCGAGGCTTAGAGAAGCTAAGACATTTGCCAAAGGCTCCACAGCCTACATTTGAACCTTGGCATCTCTGGAAGACATTCATGCCACGTGATTTCCACTGACCCCGGTGGGCAGCGCCCTGTGTGACTCTGGGTGGACTGGGCATTCCTGGGTGCTCAGAGCTGAAAGCCAGGCCTCGTACCCCACCAGCAGACCCTCTAGAAAGGAGGCTGGGGGAAGACAAGGTGTCCTCCTTTGGGGCTCCTGTCCCCCTCCATCAGGCCAATGAAATTCCCAGTGGGAAGGCGGGGGTGGGCGGGTCCGTGGGCGCCCGGTGTTGGGCCTCTTGGGTGAGGGCTGCCTGGAATTCCCTTTTCTAGTGTGGCACCATTTCAGCCGCCACCTCATCTTCAAATTAAGGTCAAACCACACTGGTTGAAGCGGCAGGATGTAATGCCAAGGCTCTGCTCAGGCTGCCCGTTCACAGAGCGAACAGCACACAACCAAATCTTGCCTCGCAGCTAGCCAGATCCTTCTCCCCCACCTTTAACTCCACAGAAGAGGCCTCAGCTCTACCTCCAAAATCCACACTGAATCCACACCTCACCCCTACTCCAGCCTACCACCCGCCCCTCCCCCAGTGCTGCCACCACCTCCTGCTGGTCCTGCCCACTGCCTGCCCTCTCTCCTTCACCAGCAACTGTGTAAAACAGAAAATCAGAGCCGGAACAGCAGCAGGTGCCTGCAATCCCAGCCACTCGGGGAGGCCGAGACAGGGGGACCCTAAGTTTGAGAGACCAAGATAGACAACATCAGGACAGCACTCAGCACTGACTGACATCATTTTGCACACGGATTTGCTGTCTGCCTCCCTCATGTTAAGTGCCGTAAGAGGGGTGGGCACACATCAGCTTTGTCCGCCACTGTAGCCAGAAACCTGAGATGGCCTGGCACCCCAGATTCCCTAGAAAGGTTATTTTAAGATGAAGGCTGGCGAGCCTCCCGGGCAGGACCAGGCCTCAGATGGGCATCCTCCCAGCTCCTGGGACCCAGTCACAGGCTGAGATTTAACGTCGGCTGGAGCAGGTGCCGCTGGCTCACGCCTGTCATCCTAGCTGCCCAGGAGGCTGGGATCTGAGAACCTCAATTCGAAGCCAGCCTGGACAAGAAAGTCGGGAGACACACTGATCTCCAGTGACCCACGGAAGAGCTGGAAGTGGAGCTGTGTGCTCAAGGGGTCGAGGGGGAAAGCTGAGGACCAGCGCCAGGCCCTGAGTTCCAGTCTCAGAACCGTGAGTGCGTGTGCGCGCCCCCCACGCACACACGCACGCACACACGCACACCGCTGCTGGGTCACGGTCAAGCAGGCGGGACACCTACCCAGCGAGCCGGTCTCCGGCAGCCCCGCGAACCTCTGCATGAGCTTCAGGGCGTCGCGCAGCCGGGCGGCGCTGCGCAGCTGGGCCTGGCCGGGGTCCGGGGCCGGCAGGTAGCCGTAGCGCGTCAGCCAGTCCTGGGCCTTCAGAGGGGGCGCGTGGAGCGGGCGGTGTGTCGGGGGAGAGGCCGGGGCTCCCCCTCCCCGGCGTCCGGACCCTCCCCTTCCTGAATCCTTCTTATGCAATGAAGCTGGAGGAAATCACACCACTGTGCAGCTCCGGCCTGGTAGGCTGCGTGAAAGCACCCTCGTCCGTCCTCTCAAAAATCACCATCCTGGGATAGGCCGGAAACACCTCAGCCTGTTCAGATCCACGGTCTCTGTGCTAGGACTCAGCCTCAGTCCCGCCTTTGGGCGGCAGACGCTGACACTTGCACCCTGTTTCATCAACGCACAATCATGCTGGCTTCTAGTGCCCATGAGGGGTGGACAGTTTCACTCTCCCACGCCTGTCTCCTGCCTCCGTCCTGTGGGAGGACCTTGCTTCAACTGGGCTCCTCCCAGCAGTCCCTGCATCCATGCACCCAGGCCACACCCCTTTCTTCCTATTGGCTCATCCCAACTCCACTTAGAGATGCTCTCCGGACCTGGTACCCAGGGCTCCCCAGCCACACTCCTGTGCGCCTGCCCTCTGCAGCCAAGTTCCCCAGTGAGCTGAACTCAGTCTCCTCTCCTCCTCTTGGGTTGGAGTTGGAGTCCTTCCCCATCTACGCAGCCTGCAGCCACAAAAGGGTCACTTGGGTTGAGTGCCAGTGGCTCGCATCTGTAATCCTCGCTCCTGAGGGAGGCTGAGATCTGAGGAGGTTGGTTCAAGGCCAGTCCTGGTGGGAAAGTCCATGAGACTCTTCTCTTCTCTCCAATTAACCACCAAAAAGCCAGGAATGGAGGTGTGGCTCAAGTGTTGGAGAAAAATAAGGGACAGAGCCCAGGCCCTGAGTCAAACCCCTGGACCCACAAAAAAAA